TAGGTATTTAGTGATTATCACGTACTTGGAGCTAAGAAAAAAATATTACTAGGAGATGGACTTTCCATTGCAAAATTCACTTAGTAGAGGGAAAATAAACACACACGCGTGCATGCACGCACATGTACACACACCCATGCACAAGCATAGATAACTCAGAAGGAGGCAGTAACTGCAGTGATGAAGGAACATGGCAGGGAACAGAGCTGTAGGACCATGTTCACTGTGAAAGGAGGAAACAAAGCCTGTGATGAAGAAAAGGATGTTGGCCTTACAGGATTTCAAGTAGGTTAAAAGACTTTTCTTTTAAAAGCTGCATCTCCCATTGGTCCCAACACAGTCCATCTCTCCATTCCTATTGGCCCCATTTTCTTGAAAACATACACCTTCAATCTTATCTCTAATTCCTCTTTCCACATAATACTCTGTCAGGATCCTCCACCAGAGAAAAGTCGAGCTCACTCTCCTCTCCTGTCCCTCCCCCTCTCCCCTTCCTCCTTTCCCTCCTGCTAGTAAAACACAGATAGCCTCCTGTCCCAGGAACCCTTGCTGACTTGACAGTCATAACCTCCAAGTACATGAGAGCATTTCAACCAGCAGCACTGCAATAACTTAAAATTGCCTGCCATTTTTCACAGCATCCCAACAAAACCATGGCTATAGTGAGAAAATGCTTTGTAATGTTATTTGATTTATTCCATAGTACGTGGCAATGTATCGATCACAGCACAATAAAGACGGCCAAAACTACTTTCTAAGTCTGTTTTACCAATTCTCTCTCTAGTTTATCTGATGTACAATAAATTCACTTTATGAAATTTTAAAAGTTCAAATAACCAGAGGTGAGAACATTCTTGCTTTTGTCAGCAAATTTACTAACAGAAAGTCGGTAGTACCATATGAGAAATCGACCAGCTTGGTAAAAATTGTGAACGTGAAGAAAAGAGGAACTGTGAGATAAATCACACATTTGGTGTCTAAGAGGCCGTGAATGAGATTCTTGGACCCGGGAAGCAGCAAGAAAGCAAGCAGAATATTGTTCAAAGGAGGAAATGAAGTGAAAATAACTAAACAGACATTTTTGTGAGGATATAACGTATGTAAAGGAAGATATGGGCTGGTGAGGCATCTCAGTGGGTACAGTGCTACCCAAGTGGGAGGACTGGCTTCAGAGTCCCAGGACCCACAGAAAAGCCAGATGCCATAGAGCAAGCTGGTACTCCCAGGGCCACTGTGAGAAGAAGTTTGGGCAGAGACAGGAGAATTCAGAAACTTACAGGCCAGCTGGTCTGGTATGCATGGCAATGAACAGCTGGACACCTCTCTCAAACAAGATAGAAAATGAGGACCAACACACAAGATGGCGCTCCAACCTCTACGCTCAAGTAATGGCATGTGCCCTCGTTCACATACATTAACACACACACACACACACACACACACAGAGTTTTAAAGAGAGGCTTGTGCACACACTGTAAGTAAGTATGGACCAGATAATGGAAATGAAAGTTTGGGAAGTATTTAGGCATTTCCAGATTCAGCACTTCGCTTATGACTCCCTACTTTTTTTTAAATCAGAATATTCCTAGTTAGTCTGTTCTTTTCTTCATCTCTCATTCCCTTCCTTCTAAAGAAACAACAACAACAAAAGCAAACAAACAAAAAACCACAAATACATACTTGCTCACCCGGTACTCAGCAATTGCTTTCTATACTTGGTATTTAAAGCAAGAAGCCAACTGCCTTTTGAGAATCTAGTGTCACAAGTGGTTTTCAAGCTTTTAATCGGGGATCCCTAAAAAGAATATTGAAATTGCTCCCTTTCTAACTCTTGGAACATGGGCAGCTCCAGGGCCAGGGTCCTGCCGTGTATACAGTTTCTCCTACACAAGATCCCTCTGTGTTTATGGCTTTTCCAGTACCTGGTTCCCATAGGAAACAATTTCTCCTGCATCCTTCTCTCCAGCAAACTCAAGTACCAAGGGCTCAACCGTTGCAGCAAGAGTGCCTCTCAGGTGCCAGGGGCTTTCAGTGTGCTTCCAGCGGCAGTACTGAAAAGCCAGCAGCTCCCCGACATTCCCAACTGCTTCCACTGAGACACCATTCTGCCAACAGCTTTCCCCACCCCCCAAAACGGTAGTTTTCCAGAGAATTCCAAGAGGCAAGTGTCCAGTGCAACCTTATTTCCAGTACACTGCACCAGTGTGGTATAGCCATGCGTTCTCTGCCACAGAGTCACTGAAATCATGCCATCTCCTTCTCAGCCCCAGAGAAAGGAAGTAGGAGTAGTACCAAGGAGGAAGGTCTTCCTAGGCCTTTCTGTTTCTGCCCTAAAGGTTATGACTACCATTCCGCTACGTCTGTATTCATGTTCCCCATCCCTGCTGTCTGCATCCATGGTCACCATCCCTGCTGTCTGTATCCATGGTCACCATCCCTGCTGTCTGTATCCATGGTCACCATCCCTGCTGTCTGCATCCATGGTCACCATCCCTGCTGTCTGTATCCATGGTCACCATCCCTGCTGTCTGTATCCATGGTCACTATTCCTGCTATGTCTGTATCCTTTCTAACTTCCTTTCACTTTTACTAGCAAAGACCTCCTCATCTCAACCCCTATGTTATAGTTTGAAATCCTTTAAACTTTCTTGTTCAAACAACTATGTGGGTTTTATACCTGGACTTGCTGATGATATTTTTCCCCTTATACTTTTAAATAACTTTCCAGAAATGTAAATAACTACAAAAGATGAACTCCCAGTTGTTTTGTATTCTGTATACATGCTTACAGTGTTTCTGTCAAAATCTCAGATCTACATATTTCCATCAAACATAAGTGGAAAAATAAATCACGTGAACTAATTTGCAAACCCGTCCTTAGCCACATATCTATCAATCAAATCAGACTTGTTTCTTTTTTCTAAAATAATGAAGTCCCCCAAACTTTCATTTTCTATCATTTGAATAAACACACTGATACATGTTCTCATGGCTACCATTTAAGCTCTGGGGAGGGAAAAGGATACACAGATAGGAAGACATACAAAACAGACAGTAAGGAAAACTGCCGACCTTCGCAGGCGTTTGGCAGTACTGCCTCACACTAGTGTGGTTTTTGTTGTTGTTTTCCTTCAGGGAGCTCATCCTCAAAAGCCACACACACCCTTGAGCTATCATTTTGCTTGACGCCTGAAGACCGCAACTGGGGACAATGAATTCCAGCCAGACTTGGGCCGGATGGAGGGTGGACCACCCCAAGTAAAGTGAGAAGACAGTAGGCAGAAGAGGCACTGGAGGGAAAGCTGCAGACCGCTGAGTCTCAGAAATGTGCCCAGAGAAACGGACGGTGGGAAAATCAATTCCCTCAAAACTGCCCACTCCCTGTGGCCCCTGAAGTCTTCGTGGGACCCAGGGAACACGTGCTGAACATGAAGACAGCTGCACAAAGCCAATAAACATCTCCAACAAAGAAAGGCAGGGGATGCTTTTCTCTCAGAACAGACAGGAAAGCAAGAAGAGACAAGTGAACAGTGGAAACCAGCAGAAGTATGAATGAGAAGTCAAATCCTCTTTCCCAGAGCATGTAGAGAATGGGAGCTGACAACAGTGCTCAGAGAGACGGCGCTGTGTCACGGTGAACGGTGACCGTGACTCTCACCAGCTCTTGTCTTTGGATAAGGGTTTTGCTTTCAGGGTTTGTGATTCAAACGCTCACAAGGGTTAAATCCGCCCTCTACAGTGGCTCTGTTTCTTATTTAAAACAGCAAGTTTTCCTTCAACGGAGTCCTTCAGTGAAATCACACCATTGGGGGAGAGGTGGGGCACCTTAAACAAAAAGCAGAGGGGATGTGGGCAGCTTTTACCATTTGGGAGTTAACCAGTTTAGCATGGCTCAGCAGCTATCGTAAGTGTATGTCAACTATCGTGACATAAGCTAAGGGTGTTGACATCGAGGATGTGTGTTTTCTGAGAGAAAACGGGTGACAATTTGAAGGGTCGGTTTTTTAACATGAAAAAAAAACTCCGTAAGAATTCAGAACAGATTGTCAACCAGCGCTAACGTGTGAGAAGGTTTGTGCAACTGCAGAAAAGTTCAAAACTCTTAAAAATATTTTAAGGAAACTACCATTTTCCTGTTATTTCAGAAATATCTGTAAATGATATTTCTCATAAAGGAGAAATATGGAGCAAATTAAAGTGTGTTTTGCATGCTACAGCTGTCAGATTTTTATTTACTCATTCATTCTATGAGACTCTGTCATCCTGTGTCAGACAAACGATGCTCACGCTTCAGAAAGCCTTCTCTTTGGGGAGAGAGCGGACTTCCCGAATTTTCCCACCCAGCTAAAACTTCTTTGGTCAAGATGAGTAAGAATATCCTATCCAGACCAAGAATTAACTATCTTGGCCAAAAGGCCTGTGTGGTGCCTGCACGACTGTGAACTGCTGGGATCTAAAAATGATGATCTTAGGCCAATGAAAAGACAGGGTTAACCTCAAGTCTACAATATTGTCACCCGTACATAAACATCTGCCATATGCCTCACGTCTGCTTTAAGCACAGGTGTATGTCTTCATCGTGGGAGTACAAATAGACTCTAACATGAAGACATAAATGGATTCAAAGGTATCACTTGAAGGTAGAAAAAAATCAGTAAATACATGAATGGATCTCCGCTGCTCACAAAAAATGTCCTCCGTACTTCTGCTAAGGACAATGGTTACCAAGGAGGGACAAAGTTAACGGTGAGTGTTTTAAATGTCCAAACACTACAAAATTAGCCAGTCTGTCATAGAGAATTAACCAGGAAAGTCTGTAATTATTCTTGTTTTCAGGGAGTGGACACGCACAAGTATATATACATATACGTATATATCACATATTTATAATAGGGAAAGATGGAATCAAATTCAGCAAAAGAAAGATTCCCAGGAAATGAGCAACAAGGAGTCTGCAGTCATGTGATCCAGCCATGCCCACCAGCTCTCAGTCCACTTACTTGAACAATGGTGTTCCACAAACAACACATTTGTATATTCCAGGATCTTTGTGGTGTGTGTATTCTCCTTCAAAGGCACTGATAAAAAACATAAACAGGTCATCAAAAAATATTAGCAAAGCTAGTATTACTTCTTACAGAACACATTGGTTTAAAATACATTTCTCTAGTAAATCTTTCCAGAGTTTTTGGCCTTAAAATGAGAACAGACCAAACATATGGAAAGCTGAACCATACTAATATACTTCAAATATATATAGTAAAATGTGCATATAACTACTCCAAACTAGTACAGGCAAATTAAAAATATCAAGCACCTAATATGTGATACCTGGAATATTTTTCAAATAAAAAAAAAGCCTGTTGTTTGATCCCCATAAAGAACATTATTACATAAGGTTTCTGCTACTCCACACTGTGCAAGAGGGGACCAGAAAATGTAGCAGGGCCCAAGTCTCCAAGTGGAAGGAGTCTTATTTTTCAGTTTGAAAAGGAATATTGCAGCTTTAAGGGAATATTTTTCTAAGTTAGCAATCTTAGAGGCGAGGAGGTCATTCGGCTAATACAAATCAGCTGTGGTCGCCCAACAAAAACTCTATGTGCTCTACAGCTTGATTTTATTATCCTTTCACCCTCTTTACGAGCTCCAATTTTTTTATAAACAGAATTTTTAAGAATGACCTAATCTCTGGTTGTTTGTGTGCATTAAATCATTTTGCTAGCTGTGCACACAACAGGGTGGGCAGACGTCTTCTGCACTGAGAATCTGGCGACCGCCGGCTCCGGGCATGTGGGCTCACTTGGTCAGAGACTCCATGTCGAGGAGATTCAGAAAAGAGTAGGTTCTATGACAGGAAGAGCACGTTGCCTGTTAACAAGGATCCCCTGTGTGGGAAAGAGCTCTTTCAGCTCATGAATGAAAACACTAAGTTACATCATTAATAAATCTGGATCCCAGGTACATTTACAGTTTCGTGCCAAGATCCACGGTATAAATTAGACAACAAAATCATTGGGCCTTGGCAAGTTACGTTTTAGCTGGAATCAGCTGAGAGAGACTTTAATCACTAGAAACAGTCTTGGAAGTGAACAAACTTTTTTTTTTTCCTTCCAGGATGTAGGGCGAACTTCCAAGGACCAAAGCCATGTGAGGGCAGTTATTGAAAATTTTTGACATTCCAACCACAAATGAGCCAATAAATACTTTCTCCACATGTGCTTCAAAAAGAAATTGGAGTGGGGCGGAGAGGAACTAAATCATGCTACCTGATTCTGCAGCCAAAATGTCTATGCTTACAATGGCCACCTTCACAAATGGCAGCATCCTGGCGTGGCTCCATGTCCCTCATGGGTTTCCTCGCTGTGATGTCTTCCAAAAAAAAAAAGTCCCTAAATCGCTATCACTGCCACACATTTTGTTGCAAGCTAAAAACGGGCCCTTAACAAAAGCTCCGTGACTTTTATAAGATAGAACGCTCACTCAGTGGAGAAGAGCAGAGACAAAACTCGGTCTTCTCCTAAACAATGTCCCGTTTCCAACCTCCTCAAAGACAGCCATCTGCAGGCTTGGCCTTAGTCAGTTTGTCTAGGATTCTTTAGCTAACCAGAAGAAGAGTCCAAGGAGGAGGGAGCCACGCTGCTCTTGCCTCTCTGGTTTTTATTAAGCATGCTTACCTTTCAGTTCCTTTCTCCTGAGTGACATGATACTGCAGGGGTGTCAGCCGCTTCCTCAGTTCCTCCTGGGAAAAGGCCACCTTACAGTTCTTTTTATCCCGACATGACCCTGAAACGAGAGGATGGGGAGAAAGAGCCGTTTTAGCCTGAACCCTAAAGAGTTGCTTCAGCTGGTCGCCACAGAGCAGCCTCTACGGTCACTCGTCCATGACCAAACCAGTCCCTAACGGACTACAAAACCCTACCTGAGCTGCAGCTGGTCTCCAAGTTCAAAAAGAATGCCCCTTGAGATCCAACTGATTCCTCTAGAGTAGCAACGAGGTGTCAGAGCCAAGGTCTCTGCAATGTGGAACTAAAAACTCACTGGACATTTGTGTCCAGGATGATGGACATCCTCTATGCCACCTGATACTGTGAAACCACTTTTTAAAAGATAACTTCAATATCATGCATGTATTTGTAAGTGTTCACTGTGTGTGCGTGTACATATAATGGTATATAAAGATCCATTCGATAATTCTGTAACTTGGTAGACATCACCATTCCATTGTCATCCAAGATGACTTAATCACCACCCTATTTATTTTCCTGAGGACCCTAAAGATATATATTTTTTCCACAGTAGGAATTGCTGTTTTCTTTGAGTCTGTCAGATACTCCGCTGGGTTCTATGCAGTCTTTCAAAATGCACGCTTTTCTAAAGACCATATCTTACCATGTTAGCAAGAAACTTCCAGTAGACTTCAGGAGAAGGGAGATTCAAGAATTCCAGAGATGGGGGTGAGGGAGAGAAGAAGGAGGAAAGACAAGACAGACAAATGGAAGAGCCAGGGTGGTTTCAGAGTAGGCTCATGCTGTTCTGCAGCTTAGCTGGGAGGGTGTCACCCATGGGGAACCCGAATGATGAAAGGATTCGAATGTGACTAGAAGCAAGGGTGGCTTTTAGCTCGATGTGTGCAGACTGCCGTAAAACGTTCAGAGGACTCCTATTTATGCGTAGTGTCTTGAAGTTAGCCTTCTTAGTGGCCTGAGCACTCACTTCAACTCCTTTTGATTCAGCAGTGGGAATGTGTCCCACCGTTTACTTCTAAGGTGCCTCACGTAGAACATGAGATTACTGAGTTAAACCCCAAGATTACCTAACCGGTTTCCCTGATTGTGGGGTTGAAGAAGGGCTGTCAGCTTCCAGAGGGGGGGTGGGGTGCCTAGACAGATGACTGGTTTTCCACCAGCAAACAGGGAGTGGGGAAGGAGCAAACTGGAGCCAAACAGAATACAAACACCAAACTCCACTTCTGCTGGCCTCCCTGGCCCTTTGTTGGTCTCTCGAAAGAGGCCCCAGGGCAACTGGCACGTTGAGAATGGGCTGAGGGTCTCCCATCTCGCTGAACCCCAGTTAACAACAGGCTCATCCTGGTGTGAGAATCCCTACTGTTGTCCAGGGCACAGACAGAAATGTCTCCCTGGCTAGTATGTTCAGCCTGAATGTAGCAAGGCTTTTTCTCAAAACCTCAGGGCCCTGAGACTGGTGAGTTTCTGTTAGCCTCCCTCTAGACTTCTCAAAAGTTATTTCGCTTTTATTTATTTGCTTGTTAGAAGAGTATCTTTGTTAATTTTCTCAAGAAGTTCATTAATTACTAACTTAGTGTGACAAATTATCATGGTTAAAATTATTAGCTCCAATGGGCTTGATAATTATGCTACGAACAATTAGAATTAAGCAAATCTGTCCAAAATATTTTGGGTTACTCTATGTTCATTCATACAAAAAGACCAATTGTGCTCCCAAAGTTGTGAGGGCTGGGCTAGCCATCTGTGTGTCATTTAGAACAAGAGAAGCAACCGCAGGTTTAAATTACATGGTATTGGATTGCAATTCCCTAACATTGGATGCTTTTCTGCTTTTTTACCTTGAGTCGTTTACTGAGGAGTGTTCATAAAAAGTCGCTTCAAGCACAGATGCTCGAGAGTCACTTAGGCAAAGTTGTTTCTCTCTTTTTCATTCCACCTCTCTCTCAAAAAAAAAAAAAAAAATCTCTTTTCTGAAGGAAGAGAGTAAGACTGTCGCTCAGTGCTGCCGAGCCGGCCATGTCTTTGTGGAGGGGAAAGGTAAAACGGAGAACATCTGATGGAGGTAAACAACGCAAACATGAAAGCTCTCCCGGTGAATGGAGAGTACAGAAGAGACCTTAGTTCATAGATTAGAAATTACTTTTGATCTAAACATTCTTAAGAACAGATTGTTTTCCGCTACGAGCCGTCTCATTAGCCGTGCCACAGAGCCCCCGTCTTAATGGTGAACTGTGAACGGGCCCCGCGGGCCTCTTTGTCATTCTCCTTCTTATTTGGAGGAAAAGCTTTCCTTCCAGCTCCTTTGTTCGTCTTTCAGGACCCACCAAAGCCGTATTCACACAAATTTCAGAGGAATTCGCCCTGTGTCACAGCCTACAAATTATTTGGTTTTGGTGCGCTTAAAGGTCATCTTACAAATTAGCAAAATTTTCCTCCATCCTGGCTTTTCAACCTTAAATATAAATGCTGTTTCCTAACTGTAAGTGAGGTTCATTCTCTGGGAAATGCCAGTGATTATTTAAAGTGGTCAAACTTCACACGTTTTTATTCTTTGGCCATACTGTGTTCTCCAAATAACTAGGCTTTTAAAGGATGCCCAGGAGTAGAAGGAAGACACACACACACACAAGGAACAGTTACTGCAATTTTTGCATTAAACAAGAGGTCTCACCACACAGTGCAATTATAATATACTTCTTGGACAACTGAAAGCTGTGCGAATGTATTAATTCTTCTGGCATAATCAGAGCTTGGCAGGCCAGAGAGAAGCCTCACTTCTGTCCCCAAATTCGCCATTTTATCTGGAAATCCTAGAGTATTCATTGGGCGGTTTCCCTCCACTATCTTCACTTAGGAACTGTAATTTTCTTATTACACAGGGTAATTTTACATTAGTGTTATAGGACATCTGTTCAATGGCTTCTGAATTGGCTTAGAAGTATGCAACAAAGAGAGGTATCCCTTTCTCTAAACATATAATAACATTACTTTGAAGGCCTAAGTCGGTATATACACACATGCAACACGGTACATCTGAGGGAATATTACCCCTGGTATCTAATCATAACCCATTCTCTGAGGTGTGGTTTTTATGTGACTCAGATCTATCTTGAACCCAACCCAAAGGTATTTAAATGCTGGAATATGCCGGTATATTTTTTATTTATATCAAGGCCTCGCCTACGCTGCTGCTGAAGAGAGTTGTGTGGAAACTCCAGTAGGGAGGTCTTCTCTTCATACACACAAGGGCTCACTCTTGAGAGCTGGAGGCTCAGACCTGCAACCCCAAGGCTTTGTCACCTCCCACACACTTCTGAAAAAGAGAACTTGCACGCTGGTAGTGCCTGCTTCCAACTGTGACCTGAGGTGGGTGTTGCATCAGATTTGTGCCTGTAAGGGTGGCGACAACGGACTCAGTAGGGCCCAGGTGCAAAACTCACAAAAGATACTGAAGCCAACAGTCCAGCCTAAAAGGTAGCAGCTCAGATGTCTCTGCCTGCAGTATCCTACTGGTGATTATTCTCTGTAAGTATTCTCTCAGAAAAGTCCTTTTCTAACAAGTTATTTAAAAAAAAAAATAAGAAAAAAGGAAGTGAGGCGGGGAAACAACTAAAAATTCAGTTCTACTCTATCCCATGTGCATCTCTAGACATAAAATTTTAGAAGGTAGAATAATACCCATTTTACAGACACAAAAACTGAGGCCCAGAGAGTTGGTTATAACATAACTTACTAAGGAGACAGGCCTATTTCCATCAGTAAAAAAAAAAAAAAAAACTATGCTATAACTTTCTTCTCAAATTACACAGAAAATTTCAATAAAAAAACAATACCTTTAAAAAAACAGTCCCCCACTAACAAGACAACAAGTGGAGGAGAGCAGTAGTAAGGTGCGTAAGAAAGTGAAGACACAAGTCCCCTGGCCCTGACAACACACACACCCTGGCCCTGAAGACACACACACCCTGGCCCACCTCTGCTTTCCCGATGTCTGTTCCTTCAGCACAGGACCAGTGACAAGCTCAGACAAGATTGTCAGTGCACCCACAAAGTCCTGAAGGCCTTCAGTGCCCGGTAAGGAGGAGGTCGGGTCTGTTTCCTACACGCTTAGAGCACGCTGGAGTGAGACTTTTTCTATCTCAGAGAGAAAAATCAAAAGAAAACCAAACCGAAGGATCTCAGAATTCTAATTTCTGCTCTAGGACTAAGGAAAAAAATGAAAATATTAACTATCTTCCCAAAATAATAAATAAGAGATGAGTATCTTGTTTTGGTTTAACTTCATTAAGGTAAAACAGTAAAGTCTGTGCAGAAATACCTCGCTGCCCTGTTTACAGGTGGCAGAAAAGTAACGCATGTGAATTTTTACTATGAACTTTACTTCCCAAGTACACATTAGTCTGTCATGTCGGACAGCTATTTCATTCCAGGCTTAGTAGTGTTAGACTTTCTAAGTGGAAGATTATAAAACTAAACGTAGACCACTTTTAGAGTCAAATGTAGATATATACCACAAACAATGTTTGTTCTCTCTTTTTTTTTTTTTTACAACTCTAGGAATTCGATAAAGGCCTTGAGAACAAAATTTCAAGTTACAGAGGGGAAGGGTCGCTGTCTACAGACACACCCTCCATTCTAACTTTTCCCTCAGGGTAAACGCAGAGAAAGCATTCCTGATGCTGTTACATAAACCAAAGTATCAGGATGCAAACCAAAGTATCAGGATGCAAACCAAAGCATCAGGATGTAGATCAAAGAAAGCATCAGGATGCAGACCAAAGCATCAGGATGCAGACCAAAGCATCAGGATGCAAACGAAAGCATCAGGATGCAGACCAAAGCATCAGGATGCAGACCAAAGCATCAGGATGCAGACCAAAGCATCAGGATGCAAACCAAAGCATCAGGATGCAGACCAAAGCATCAGGATGCAGACCAAAGCATCAGGATGCAGACCAAAGCATCAGGATGCAGACCAAAGCATCAGGATGCAGACCAAAGCATCAGGATGCAGACCAAAGCATCAGGATGCAAACC